TAATTTTCTTCGGAAAACTTAGTTCTCTCAGAACCCAACAGCGGAATAAATGAAAAACAAATTGTAGTGAACTAAAATAGAGTACCAAATGAAAACTAAGACATGCATCGAAGTAAATCATACGAATGAAAACACATCGAAGGTAAACATGAGTGACATACATAATCGAAGATGCTCGATGGCGACAAGGTATTTGTTCAACCAGTTCATCCTTCTGCGCAAGGACTACGTCTGGTTGGAGGGGCTGTGACTTAACACGGAAGATAAACTCTCTTCACCCCATTCTCCTTGACAATCGATTCGTCAACCGATGCCGATCACTCGTGGTAGATACTTGAAGGCGATCTCCAAACCTTTACAGACTTCTTCTTCGAGAACCACAATCACTTTTGATCTCTGAAGAAATTGGCACCAAACTGTCTAGAGAGTTTGCATCTCTCAAGAGTAATAGGCGGAGCGTATTAAACTTAGATTCCAGTGATGCTGAACCACTATCTAATTCCTCGGCTCTAGGGTTTTTCTCTCGATGGATTTTAAACTCAAATCACTCAGAGAGTGGGTTGCTCAACAATCTTCTCAGAATCAAACGGAGCAGCCACCGGACAAAGTCGGTGCGGGGTGGCTATTTATAGCCGTAGCCTTCCCGAATGGGAAATGACCATTTTGGACACGAGGTCCAGCCAATGGCCAACCGACACGTTCGCAACAGCCGGATTTTGGAGCAACGGTAACATTACTTGAGGAACAAGTAATGCTAACTCCTTGGTCCGAGTCAAATCTCTCGCAGCGAGGAAGATCACAGTCTCTTGCTGGCAAGTATTTGCTCAGAGCACAAAGAGATTTCTCTCATAGCTTTCATAGGATTTGGGTTTAGCATCAGAGAATCAAAGCTTCGAAGCTATACCCCTCTTAATAGTACGGTGGTCCTATGACTCAATGAAAGAAGAAGAACAACGAAACAAATGCTACGCCTTCATCTCGTCTTCATTCTTGCTTGGACGCAGTCATATTCTTCGAACAGGCACCAAAACAATTGCTTAAACTTTAGCAATTTTTAGGGGTCACTCTTGTTAGCTTTATCTTCGGTGATAACCTTCGCTGCTGCGCAGGGAGATTACCTTCGTCATTTGCATCAAACTCCTCGATACTTCAGGGACCTATTACTCTGTGTGCACTAGAAAACACATAAGTCCCATACTGTTTATGTTAACAAACTCCAAAACATAAGGGGCCTATCATTGCACCAACAATCTCCCCCTTTTTGGATGGTTGCTGACAAAACAGATAATCATCGAAGTGAAGATAGATAAGTGAAATATAGAACAAACAAGATTGAACTTGCATTACTTGACTCAATGATGAAATATACTCCCCTTAGATGTATGCAGGGTCAATTGATATACAATGAAGGTCCTTGCAATTCATTTGAGTGAGTGAAGGATTTTCAATCATACGAGGTAATGATTTGCACTGATGATAGGTAATTCAACGAGAATATGGTGCAATCATTTATGACTTCTAACAATAATTCCACCTGCAAAACAAATACTTCGAGAGAGAATAGTGCAGTAGGTGGGGCTATTAATATTACAGCCCATACAGAAGTTTTACATCAGAGCACAATAACTGGCTTAAATTGTCTTAGAAATATATAACGCAAAAGCCTCAAAAACAGAGCGAATAAACAAGGATACCAAATCCAACAGAGCGAATCTATCGAAACTCTCGATGTAATTCTCCCCCTTTTCGTCAACTAGTGTCAAAAAGGTGATGAAAAACACGAGTGCAAAAGAAGGTGAATCTGATTCACTCCGAGGCATCGCCTGAAGAACTTCCCGAAGAGGTTTCTGATTCAGAGGTGGCTGGAAGATCTTCATTGTCATCATCAGCAGCAGATTCTTCAATACTGTCTTGGGGCTGAGAAGTTGAAGGCACATTAGGATCAGCCTGTTGAGTCTTGCGGGAGAAAGAATTTCCTTCTCCGTGGGCGAAGTTGCTTCTGACTTGTCGAGCAATTTGTGCAGTTGAATCCGAAGTAAATTGGTTGTTGGTTCACGAGCTGGCAGAGGAGGAGTGATCCGATGTTGAAAACCTTCAGCTGAGAACCCTTGATCAATATACTTATAGAGCTCTTGGAGATGAGAGTGGTTCAATTGCTTCTTGGAGAAAAATTTCCGAAGCAATTTCCATAAACGCTTCTTGTTTTATGTTGTGATTAAGTGCACAACTTTTGTTCGGTTGTGAATAGCATTAAGTTCGGCAGCCAGATGCTCTTTTTCTTGACGGTCTTTGGCCATATGCTTCAACAACAGCTGTTGAGTGCGCATGCTCACTTCAAGATGTGAAGGATGTTGAGTGTTCAACAGACGATCACGTTTAGGTAGCTTGTGTCCATTGAAGGTGTTATGATAATCAGAAGGACTTGAGACTTGAGCCTTTCCCGAAGAGAAATCTTCCATTACTTTTCAGCATATCACACACATGAGGAATGAAGCTTTTGTGACTGACTTTGGTAAGGTATTCGGTCTTCATTGCATAGTCAACCACTTTCTGAATCCAGGGCGCATATACCTTGATAGTTTTTGGACACTGAGCTAAATCCATCAGTATGCACAGGAACATGTCTTCCACATAGAAGATAAAACCTTGAGAGATGGCATGGATGGTGTTGCAAAGAACATCAGATATCATGTTGTCAGTATTCATTCTAGCCAGCGGACAGAGGGTGTAAGTGAGAATGTGATAAAATGTCTCATTATTGAATGTCAAGTGCTCAGGCAGGGGAGGACCATTTCAGTCACGAATTTTATCTTCACCCATTATGCATTAGAAATCTTCATCAGAGATGGCATCAATGTTGTGAACCCGAATCTCAGTCTTGCCATGTTCAAAACGAGGGAAATGAAAATGAGATACAAAGTCCATGGCAGAGCATTTGCTTCGCTTTCCTTCAGTCATCCATTCCATGATCCACTTAGTGCTATCAGATTCACCACCAGATATATACAGAATAGCATAAAACTGAAGGATAATTTCCCTGTTCCATGGATGTTGAAAGTCAAAGACATGCGTGAGGCCATAGTATTTGATGTCTTGCAATACTTGATTAAAACAACCAAGGTTCTTCATCACAGCGATATCTGGGAACTCATGAGGGAAAATCTTAAGGCTGTCATAAAGGATTCTCGAATAGTATGTTGCATGTTCCTGAGTCCACAACTGAGGAGATTCAAATGTGTGGGGCCTGTTGAGGAATTTCTTGAAAGAAATTCGGATGAGTGTTCCGATTGAAAAGAGGCCCTTTGGCGCCAAAACCGGTGGAAAACAATGGCAGGTGCTCACGAGGATAAGGATAGTTCAGTTCATCTTCAACGGAAATCACTTCATCGCCATAGATAACAGAATCTGAATGATGAGTCGAAGTTGATTTTGCTGCAGAAGGATCAGAGGTTCTTCATGCAGTATTGGGTGAGATTCCCAGAGGAGATGGATTTGACACTTGTTCAGGTGCTGACTCAGGCACCAAAGTTCTATCAGCCACTTGGGGCTATTGGTGATTTGCTTCAGAAGTCATTGGAGGAGCATAGGAAGGAACCGAATCATTTGGTTCATCATGGGCAGGAGAAGCTTGTCGTTCAAACCGAGGAATTTCACCTTCTTCTAACACTTGGTGCTGA